GTATAAAGGTCAAAGAGGAAGACGGTCAGAGAATTTATTTCTGGTATTTATATGAAAAGCATTTTGAAAAGAGACAAGATAATAATTGAAAAGGCTTTAGTATGATATTGGGATATTTTTTGAAATATCGAAATAATTTTGTGTGACACATATATTAGTCAATAATGCAAGGTAGCTGATTGTTAAATGTTACTAATAATAAAAAGATTGGTTTCGTTCTTTAATTTACATATTTCATTATTACCCAAATCAGTAAAGCAAACAACTATTACAAAATCTATTGCTTTAACAAGCTTGGTATTTATACTATATATATAGGATTTACAAGTTCATATACACTATAAAAAAATTTTATTCAAAATCAGAAACATAGAAATAACAATAATAACAGTTAGCATCATACACCAAATACTAATTATATTTTGGTCAGCTAACATGACAAAAAAAAGCGCCAATATATTTATTCAACTGCAATCCACCATCGTCAGTAATGTGTTAACTTTGATTATTATAAACAAATGCTATATTATTACACCAACTAAATTATTTTACATGAAAGAGACATATTAAACTATACAATTATTAATTTTACCTAAAGAAGCGGATTTTGTCATTTCAGTATAAGTCAGCTTATCAGATGCTTGAATGAATAACCATGACTGGCTCAATGAACTTGCACTTGGGGTAGATAATTATCTCACAGGAATTCAATTTGTGTTAGACAATTGTGTCGTTCATAATATAATATATATATAAAAATCATACATTACATTTTCTAGTTATGGCAAACTTCCTCTTGATATTTATACATAAAAATAAATATTTGATTCATGAAATTCTTTGCCTATAAATGATACTCATGCATTTGATATAAGAAACTAATTACTTTATTCACTTATTGATCTCATCACATAATTTCCCTCATTGAAAACATACACCCTATATGAAACTTTATTATGATCACTGTGGAGAAATTTTAATTAACTGTGATCAGTTTCATCAGATTTAAATTATTAATTTTTCATATTCCCTTTAACTAAATTTTATAAAACAAAGGGAAGTAAATCAATTTTTCATAACAAAAGCTTTACTAATCCAAATTAAATGATAATTATTTTTAATTATAAAAACAAATTATTTAATATGAAACATTAGGATGTAAGACTCGTATCTCTTTGATGTGCATAAATAGTGTAATGCTTATGCAATAATGTTTATCAAATATGTCTATGACTTCGATGACGTGAAGGTAACGTACAAATTAAATGCATAACATGGTTATTTTATTAAAACGCGTGATAATCAAAATAAAAACCTAGAAGCAACTTCTAAATTGATCAAAAAAAAATTTAAAAAACTAATTCAATTATTATATCTGAAATATTGTATTATTATTTATTCATTTATTGATAGGAAATTATAACATAATTTTTAAAAATTATGCCATCAGTTTTCAAGTTCAACTAAATACAGTTGTCATAACATGAAAAAAAATGAAAATAGAAATCTTGTTGCTGCGTCATAAGTATCAAAAATATTATAATTCAAAATATCGAAAATAAGATAACATTAAATTTTAAATAAGTATAAAAATCAAAATAATGTTACTGAATTATTAATAATATTTAATAACTAAATTGAACATTGTTTTCTTGAAAAAATTTTAATTAAATTTTTTATGTACACTATTGCATCTCACGTCTAGTAGTATGTTAAAGAGTTGATGTTCTTATTTGGTTATTATTGAATAATAATAATCAAAAAATTAGATATCAAGTATAATAAATTGGTCATATCAAAATTGTACGTAAATAAATATTAGCATAAAAAAACCAAATGTTACTTTAATGGAAAAACAAATAGTTAAATACAATTTTTGCAATTAAAGTATTTTGGTTCTAATTTAATCCCTTCTTGAAGTAAATATCAAAATGAAGACATAGATTAAATTAATAAATATAAATAAATGCAAGCAATTTTGTACCATATAGAGGTTGGATAAGTGAACAAGTGAAAACAAATTATTAATGAATGTATACGTAACACTCAATTAAATGCTATTTGCATAAAGATTATTTAGAATAGATACCTTATGAAATTTATTAAAATTTAATTATCTTGCAAAAGGTAGTCTTAGCACAGTATATAAAGCAGATTGGATTCACGTTCTTAGCATAAGTAAGATATTACTTGAATGTTTTCTTGAAGAGTGTTAAAAATATTTAAATTAAGTAGCTATTTATTACAAACTTTTCAAAGGAAATTAGCAGTATTTTTAATAACTTAAAAGAATTTGTAATTGAAACAACATAAAAAATTATAATTATCAAGTTACAGATGTTTTTGCCTTCAAAATGTGAATTATCAAAATTTGAAAACGAAATTTATATTTTACTATAATGAAGTTCTTTAATGATAATATGGTATAATTAATATCACAGATTTTTGATTCATTTACTTATTCATAATTTTTAATTATTTTTTACTTATTATTATTTTAATTATTATTTTTTACTTTAAAAATTTTTAATATATATATTATATATACCATTATTAATTAAAGTTATGACATGTTTATTTGTTTATATCGACTTTGATGTTATGATCTAACAGATAAATATTTACGAATAAACACAAAATTATTATTTATTTAAAAAAATGTGTATAAAGGTAACCTTTCTTTTCAAGAATGTTGAAAGTTCCAACTTTATTGAAAACAATAGCATTATCATCAAAATAAATTTGATTTAAATAATATTTACAAAAAAAATGCTCTATTTATACGACAAGTGATTTATTTTACTATTTTTGATTGATTAAAGGAAATTTATTATAAACTTATTGGCTTGAAATTTGTTTTAAAGAATAATTTTATAAATATTATGTATAAAATAGTCAGCGTTAGCAGGTAGCAATCTTATAAGATTGCTACCTACTTGCACTATACTGCTATCTACTTATCATTATACTGCTACCTACTTATGTTATACTGCTACCTATTTGTGTTATTATGCTACCTACTTTTATTTTTTCGATTCTCTGTGATCTTTTTATTACATTGTAGCTATCCACTTGTTTTCATTATTCTGTAATTATTTTGTTACCTTATAGCTATCCATTTGATTTTATTTCTCTGTCCTCTTTTTATTATCAAGGAACTATTCATGTGTTTATAATGATTTGCGCTTCTTTTGTTTCTAAAGAGCTATTCGCTTGTTTTTCTGCTTCTAAACCTATTTGGTGGTCTATTAAGATATCAAAAATGCTTCTTTTTGCGCCTATTTGGTTGCTTTTATAATACTGAAATGGTATAAAAAAAGAGGCGACAGGTGGGACAATAGATTTGCGATTAATTTTGGCCAGCTCTATAGTATAACTTTGGCTGATCTTTTAGGCATGTGATTTGGGGATCCAGCTTGGCGTCATTATGGTGACTTGGTGATATCCTGGAACTACTGTGGAGCTGTTGAAGAACTGGTAGAGAACTGGCAGGATGTCTGAAAGGTTCCATTTATTCGCTAGTTTTAGTCCACTTATATGCCAGCTTGGATGCCGAGTTATTATACCCAAAGTTCTAGCCAAAATTATAAAATAGTATTGGCTGACATTAAGCGAATAAGTCTTACTCGAAGGCTATACCATAGTCGAACACATATCTAGAAAGATGAAATCTTCTGCTATTTTTATATAATATAATTCTGCAGAAGGCTTATCTTTTGGATACATATTTTCTTGCCTTCTTTTTACAATTTGCTGTCTAAGTTCGCTATCATTTCTTTTTGCATTCACCGAAAAAAATGCGTTATATATATTTGAGAAATATTTAAATGATATTTAAGTTTGGGTTAGTGGATCAGTTGGTTAGAGAATTGGAGGTGCCAACTACGTTTCTCTTTTTGGTATACCTTTATATTACGCGAAGGCTATACCATACCGAATATATACCTAGAAAGTGTAATCTTTTCCAATTCTTTATATAAAATTTCTGAAGAAGACTACACAAAATACATATACTGAGTACATACCTAGAAAGTGTAGTCTTCTTTTATTTGAGATGGTGGCTTCTTCCTATAATGATTCTGAAGTTACCTCCATATCATACTTAAGTACATATCTAGGAAAGTGTAGCCTTCTCCCATTTTTATATAATATAATTACAGAGAAGGCTACACAAAATATATATATCGAGTACATACCTAGAAAGTAAAGTCTTCTTCCAATTTTATATATAATATTTCTGAAGAAGACTTCGCTATACCCAAGTACATATCTAGAAAGATGAAGCTTTCTTCCAATTTTTTATATAATAATTCTGAAGAAGGCTTCACTTTCAAATACATATCTGTTTCCTTTTCATTTACGATTTGTTGACTAAGTTTGCTATCACTTCTTTATTGCATTCATCGAAAAAAATTAATTAAACATTTCAGAAATATATTGGAGTATATAAAATTTTTCCTACTGATGCCATATATACTTCAACTATTTTTGATCAAACTAATCACACTAGATCTAACTCAACGCTCGCCTGCTACGATGGCGCTGAGTCTTTAGCTAGTAGCCTATTATGTAATGATATTGTGGTGAAATTCGATAATGAGATGACCACTATTCTTCAACAAAGTTTATCTGGCAAGCAACCCATACATTTCATACCTACCGAAGTTAGTGATAATACCAAATATATAAAAGGTGTCTCCTCTTATATTTTGCGCATTGCTGGTACTTTAATTAATGTACAAAATGCAGTCGTAAATATTACAGACATTAAACCTTTCTTTGATATCGTAGTACCTGAAGAAATGTTACTATCTATGTTTAAGACCAAATCAGTGAAAATATTATCTAATACTCTCAGAGGTATATTAAACTTCGAGATTGAGCATATTAGCGCTTTTCCACTTCAAGGATATTATACAGAAAAGAAACCATATATTTGTATTAGAACTTGAAACCATTTTGATCGATATAATGAATTAAAAGCAGTCTGCGCTATTAGTATGCATACAGCTTCAGATGATTTAAATTGCCAGTATTATTATCACAAAATAGCCTGTGAAAAAAGATTATCTCTTTCAAGTTGGACAACATTAAGTAATTATTTCCACGAATATATTCAAGGGGGTACTTATCTCTTTCAAGCTTCTGTGGATAATTACAATCCAACAAGTGAGCATGATTATAATAATCCATTATTATCCTCAACACTTTCACGGGATCGCACTCTTATTCTCACATGGGATATCAAAATATATGACTCACAAAAAACTGGCGAGATGTCTAACGCAAAATACAATAAAAACAAAGTATTTATGATTTGTATAACAATTCATTGGAAAGATGATCCTGAACCGTTAAAGCGAATCTGTCTTGTCAACGTTGAAAAGCATCAGATCCACGGTGGGTTACAATTGTATCTGGATTACAGACCAATTTACTAAAAGCATTCATGTTATGTTGGAGATATTTAGCTCCAGATATACAAATAGGCTTTAATGATTCATAATGCGACTGAAAATTTATTGTAGAGAAAGCTAATAAATTAGAAATTCTCGAATGGATGTTCAACCATATGTCATTCAAGCCATCGAACCTGGAAAAAATTATAAAAGGGTAACATCGATATAACATTATAAAAGTAAATAATAGAAAATTCCATTTGAAGCATCTTAAAATTTCCGGCTGTGTGGCTATTGATGTCCAGCCCTGTTTTATGGGATTTTATTCTAAAGAAGAAAAAAGTAGTTTCGCATATTACTTAAAGGAGTGTAACCTTAACAACAAAGTGGATTTGCTTATTCATCGCATGAACAAATATTATGAAATGGCATTAAAGGAAACAAATAACACAACAGCTGAGCAGATACATGAAATAGCCGAGTATTATATTATCGATGCTCTTAGTTGCCAGCGGTTAATGATTAAGTGCAATGTAATTAATGAGTACAAGGTGGTTGCGAACATAACATTTATATCATTATTCGATACACATTATTTTGCAATAGGAATGAAAGTGAGCAATCTTTAAGTGCTAGTGCATGGCGAAAAGGAATTTTAACCAGTACAATTTCAGAGAAAACAGAGACAAAGTATTTCCAGGTGCCTATGTCTTCCCCCAATAAAGAGGCTCGAAAATAAACATCCTGTAACTGGCTTAGACTTTGCGTCATTATATCTGAGCCTTATTATGACTTACAACCTCTACCCCAATAAAATTATTTTATCTCAAAAACATGCCGAGTCTCTGAGAGGTGGTGGCAAAAGGCTCCATGAAATTAATTTAAATTCAATGATAATGATATTCTTGCATGGTCTATAGAACATAATAACGTTCCTGAAAAAAAAGGTCTCTATGATATTATATTAGAATATTTATCTAGCAGACGGAATGAGATAAAAAAACGCCTTACCCCTTTGAAAGAAAGAAAGGAAGACATGGAACTAGTAATAGGTTTAATGGGTAAAGATTTATTACTACCAGAAGCTATTGAGCATGTTTTAGCAAAAACGAGGAGAAAAAACGTGCCAGCCTTAACAAAAATCTATACTATTTTATTAATAAAGAAAAACATAAATTCATAGCAGAATATGTTTCAGTTTGTTTTGATTATTCTTGCTTAGATGCAGAACAAAATACTTTGCAGGTATTCATGAACACATTTTATGGTATGGCTGGAGATAACAAGTCTTCTTTCTTCTTACGTAAACTTGCTGGAGGTATCACTTCAGCTAGACAGAGAAATAACAAACTTGTTACAAATTTCGTCAAGAGAAAGAGATTCGGGATAAAATATGGAGACACTAATTCCTTGTATTTAATCTGTCCAGAAGAATGCTTCCAGAAGTGTGATGACATTTATGATAGCGATAATGGGATCTCAAAAGAAGAATATTAGTCTCGAATAGTAGAAATCTCTATAGTGAAAATGGAAAAACTTCGCGTTAAAGCTAATGTCTTTTTCAAGAAAGATAATGAATCATCTTATCTTAAAAGGACATATGAGAAAGTCTTATTTCTGGTAGTATTTACTGGAAAGAAAAAATATTATGGTATCCCGCATGAAAGCAAGCCAAACTTTAATAAAAAGCTTTTCATCTGGGGAGTTGAGACTGTAAAATAGGAACAGTCTAGTATTTTCCGCAAAATAAGATAACATATTATGAAAGAATCTATGAGGAAAAACAATACACACACCTTGAAACGGGTTGTAGAGAACGTGCTTAAAGAAACTGTAAGGGATATTTCACAGATAGATCTTAATGGAGTGGTTAAAACCACTGTATGAAAGCCAGATAAATATAACAAGAGTATACAGCACTTCATTTTACTAATGCAAGATAAATATATTCATGAAGAAGCGAATGTCAAATGGGTCATAAAAAAAGGGCTTAACTCCTGACCCTTATCGTTATCAAATCCCAGAACCAGATGAACGGTTTGAATATGTTGTAGCTAAGTATAATTCATCGAAAAAAGTGGGAACAAAATGAAGTACCCAGAGTAGCAAGATGACTTAGTAAAAAAATTGATATTAGCTATTATCTGAATAGTGTTATTGGCCTCTGTACACGATTTATTAACTATGATGAATTATTCCAGCCATTATCTGAAATTGTGCTAGATGTAAGGTTGCTGGACGAAATCAAGAGTTTAGACAGACGTCTAAATGGTAAAAGTAAAACTTGGTTAAATTATATTAAAACCTTATTAAAAAATTTGCAAAATTTGAAAAAAGGTAAAATTATATCAAAGCTTATAAAAATGGCAAAACTATATCAAACACTTAGTAAAAATTTAGTGAAACTAAAGATTTAACCGTTTTGCCAAATCCAAAATGAGTTTAGACAAGCAACCTTAATTGATACTCAAACCTTTAATACTAAAGGAAAAAACAAAAAATTTAGGCTAATGACTTTGAACTTTATAAACAATACATTACTGATAAAAATGATAACATCAATAATAAATCTTTACCATTATTACTTTACTAATGCATTTTTACGTGTCTACTAATACCAAGAATGTCACTGGTTCCTCAATTGCAAAAAAAATATTACATGATTAACAAACTTTTCAGTCACTTTGATGAATACAAGGGCTTATATTATAATACAAGGCAAAAGAAATTCTATATTTATTTTCATACTTTAGACTCCTTAATATAAGTAACCAATAAAATTAAAGAAATGTAACACAACCCAATCTTTTTAGTAATTGACCCTAATACTAAACAACAACACAAAGATGATGAAAAAGGCAGATGCATTAAAGTTAATAATATTTCCCTTTTCATAAAATAAGTCATTGTACGAAATGTTTTTGAAAAATATGGAAGGATCTGCAGATTTTCAATAATTACCAGAGGTCCTTGGTAAATAACTTTTATTGTATACAAATCACTTGACTCTATTTAACAATTTTACAATATCACTTGGTCTATCTTACTAATAGAATTTTCAGTTAGAATTGAATTTATTAACATCAATAAAATCCAAACTGTACTTCACCAACAATAGGATTCCTCAAAATCGAATCAAATCAAATATTTAAGTAATTTGAATTTAATTTGATTTTTTAACTCAAATATTTGATTGAATCAATTTGAATCGATTTGAATTTGATCGAATCAAATCGAATTAATCAAATCAAATCAAATCAAATTGATCAAATCAAATTGAATATAAAATTTTTTTAATTTTTACAATGATATATTAAAATAAAGTTATTCTAAAGTTTTAAT